ATACTCATACTGCTCTCTCCCAGTCCTGCAAAAAGCAGAAGAGTTTGATTCAACCTAGCCAAAAAAGAAAAGGATAAGTGCTAGGGAAGGAATTGCTACAGGGGGGCCAGTGTGAGTGGCTGCTCTTGACCTGAAGGAAAGAGGAATTAATCCATCTAGGACCAGTCCTGTCCCCCTGGAGATACTGGGTAGGGACTGAGCTTAAGGAAAAGTAAATCCACACTAGGAAAATGCTGAAGCAGCTCTGCACTCCAATCCCAAAGGTGTACCCATCACCAAAGGGAGAGGAGTCAGAAATACAGGCTGAAACAAAAAAGATTTCAAGAGCAAGAACATTCAGTTAAAAACCTAAAGTGCAAGCAGATAAATTAATAGACGGAATGTTAAAATCAGATAAAAGAATAAGCACTGAATCCTCAAAGAGATTACAAAGCTGCCTTAATAAATATTACATTACAAAGAAAACTGAACCGATTCCCTGTAGAATCCCAAGAGAGAATGGAATAACAATTAAATATTCCAGAATGGCTCAAAAGAGAAGTTAAAACCATAGGAGAAATTAGAAAAGAACGAATGTCAGAATCTATAGCCTTCCCAGCAGAAATTATTAGCAGATCAGGAAAAACTAGAATCCATGGTGGTGAATTTCTCCTAAGAAGCAAAAGAGAGTCTAATGAAATCTGGAAAACAAAAATACTGAAGGAAAAATCTAGAATAAAAGTTATAGTGCAGGAAATAAGACAAGAAAACTGTCTGAATACAGGGAGGAAAGCACTAAGTAAAGAAATCCACAGGTACAGAAAACTTCAAAGACCAAATTCTATAAACTTAAACTTAATAATTCTAATGAGAAAAAAAACATATTGTGCAAGCATCCAGGAGAAAAACCTTTTTTTCATGTCAAAAACTAGACAAAGAAGAATAAAAAATAACTCAACTCAATAATTCAGTGTTTCATAAACCCCAAAATATAAATTACTTTAGATAAATCTCCTAAGGGGGCAGCTAGGCGGTACATGGATAGAACATTAGCCCTGGAAGCAGGAGGACCTGATTTCAAATCTGACCTCAGATACTCACTAACTGTTTGACCCTGGGCAAGTCACTTAACCCTAGGTAAGTCACTTAACCCCAATTGCATGAAAAGAAAATTCCTATTTTATAAGAACTACTGGTGGCACAGTAGATAGAGCTGTGGCTTTGGAGTCAGGAGTATCTCAGTTCAAATCTGACCTCAGACACTTACTAGCTGTGTAACCCTGAGCTAGTCATTTAATCCTGACTGCCTCACCATAAAACAAGAACAACAACAACAAAAAAAAAGACTGGTAACACTAGAAAAGAATTTGATAGAAATTAAGCTTATATCAACATCTTAGACCACATTCCACAAAAAATTCAAAACAGACACATGACCTGATAGTAAAGATCATACCATTAACAATTAGAAGGGAAGCAAATCACAGCTTTCACAACTTTTCATGGATCAAAAGTGTATTCTTAACCAAACAGGGGATAGAGTCAATTACAAAAGGTAAAAAAGATAATTTCAACCACATGAAACTGGAAAGATTTTGCATGAATAAAATCAATGCATCTAGCCTAAGAAAAGTAGTTGAAATGGAAAAAAAAAATTTGTATCAAATATCTCAGAAAAGTATCTCACCCAAGATATACAGACAACTAACAAATACATAAAAGCAAAAGTCATTCCCTAATAGATAAGTGGCCAAAGGATATGAACAAGCATTTCATTAGATTGCTAGTTCCTTGAGGGTAACTCTCAAGGCCTTTTTTCCCATCACCTTTTCCCCCCAAGGCTTTTTACTTTTTCTCCCCCTAGTGCTTATACAATATCTGAAACAAAGAAGCTGCTTAATAAATTTGTTGACTTGATTTTCTCCAAAGAATTTCAACCTGTCAACAAAAGTATGAAAAAATGTTCCATGTCACTAATGCGAACAGAAATACAAATCAAAATAACCCTGCGGTCTCACCTTATACCAGCAGACTAGCAAACATGACCAAAAAAATGGGAATAATTAATCTGAAAGGGTAGCAGAAAGACATGTCATTAACGCACTGTTGGTGGAGCGACTAGTTGGTACAACCTTCTGGAAAGCAATGTGGAATTATGCAAATAGAGTGACCAAAACGTCCATACACTTTCACCCAGAGATTTTATTGTAAGACCTAGACTCTAAGGAAGTCAATAACAAAAGGCAAAGCCTCAAAGAAATGATATGTCATCTCCCCAACTCCTTTGCAGAGGCAGAGGTCCATGGGGGCGGAACATTACATTTAATACAAAACTCGGGGTGCATATATTAGTTTTGCTAGAGTTTTTCCTTCTTTTCCTCTTTTTCTAACTTGTTATAAAGGATGTTTCCCTAGGAAGGGGTAGAGGGAGTTCTGCGGGGGGAAATGTAGCTAATTTTAAAACAAAAACAATCAATAAAAACCAACTAAAATTTTCCTATTTTGACTCCATATGAATGATGTTGTTTAAAGTGATGACAGGAATGATTTGCAGAATTCATTATCTTTTCTCCCCCTTTTCACCCCCTACCTTCTTTCTTTTTTTTTTCTTTTTTGGTTAGGCAATGGGGTTAAGTGACATGTCCAGGGTCACACAGCTGGTAAATGTCAAGTATCTGAGGCTGGATTTGAACTCCAGGCCTCCTGACTCCAAGGCCAGAGCTCTAACTACTGTGTCACCTAGCTGCCTCCTCTACCTTCTTTCTAGCATCTCTATTTCCACTGAGGGCATCATCATCTTTGCACCTATCTTCCCTCTCTCTCTGAGCCCTCATATTCAAGTTGCCAAATCCTATAGATTCCATCTCCATAATCTAAAATTCTTCCCATCTCTCAATTTAAAATGTTACTAGCCCAGCTCAGGAGGTCATCACCTCTAGCCTCCAAATAGGTCTCCTTGTTTATAGTTTCTCCTTTCTCCATGTCATCCTCCACAGAGGTGATAAACTGATATTATTGGAGATGCCCATCAACTGGGGAATAGATGAACTAATTACGGTATATTAGGTAATAAAGTATTATTGTGCCAATAAGAAATGACAAAAGCGACAGTTTGAGGAAACCTGGGAAGCCTAATATGAACTGATAAAGAGTGAAGCAAGCAAAACTAGAACAATTTATAAGACAACACTGTAAAGAAAAACAACTCTGAAGATCAATGAAATAACCAATGACAACTCCAGAGGAACAATAAAGAAACATATTACAGGAGGAGATTGGACATGGTCAATGTGAGAATTTGTTTTGTTTAATTATACATATCTGTTATATGAGTTTTGCTCTTCTTTTATCCCCTCAATGAGAAAGGAAAATAGAATAGAAAAGAGGATTAGGAGAGGATCATTTCCCTCTTCCCCCATTGAGAGAGAGAGAGAGAGAGAGAGAGAGAGAGAGAGAGAGAGAGAGAGAGAAAGAGAGAAAGAGAGAGAGAGAGAGAGAGAGAGGGGGAGGGAGGAAGAGGGAGGGGGAGAGAGAGAGAGAGGAGAACAAAGAGGGACAAAGAAACAGAGACAAAGAGAACAGAAGGAAGGCCAAAAGTAAACTAGTAAACAAGACAGCTTTGAAAGTTATAGGCTGACTTTATTATATACTTAAAAAGAAAAGTAAGCTCTATCTTGTTTTCTACAAAACAGTCCTCTCCTACAATGTAAAAATGCTCATTTTATTTGGTGTTTGTTAAAATTAACATAAAGTTCAAATTTAATTTTTAAATTTAAATTTGAAAAACCCAGATTGACATTCCTAAAACACTGGTCTGACCATGTCACTCCCTTGCTCAGGAAGCCCTCTTTTCCTTCTACAACCTACCCTTCCAGAATGTTTGTACATCACTGTCCTTCATGGATTCTTCATTCCAGCCAAAATGGCCTTCCTCATACATTATATTCTAACTCCCATCTGTTCCTGTGATGAACTATCTGCTCATATTCACCTCTTACAATTCCTTACTTTTTTCATGGCTAAATACAAGTGACACTTCCTATGGGGAGGTGTTTCCTAACCTCTCCACCCCAGCCCAGTTACTCATACCCTCCTCCCCAAAATTACTTTGCATTTACTTTGAATAAATTTTGCATTTACTAATTAACATATGTACAAATTGCTTTCCCTAAGAGAATAGCAGCACCTGGAGGACTGAGAAAGTTTCATTTTTCTTTTTCTATCTCCAGCATGTAAGGCAGAGAGCTAAATTTGTAGAGCACTTATGGGTAGTCACTTAATAAATGCTTGCCAAATAATGTACAATTTTGTAACGTCAAGAAATAAGGCCCAATTCTTCTCCTTAACATTGAATTTATACTATATACAATTAATAGGGAGCTAATTTCAAAGAATATATCTATAATGTTACATATAGTTCTACTGGAATACACATTAAGCAGATAATATCTGCTTGGTTTGTATTTCTAAGGTTCCCACAATAGGAGAGATAATCTATAAGTATGGCCAAAATAATCCCAGAACCGTTGTAAACATGGGTCATTAACTCAGTGTTTACAGGTCTCTACTATCCTAGCATATCCCGTTACTTCCCAAGGGAATGTGTACTCATGATATTCCGACAGCTTTCTGTACAAATAGAACCTAGCCTTTTTTTGTCCTGAGGTTTGAAAGGTAGAGCCGTGGATAGAAAGCTGGGCCTGGAATTGAGGAGACTTGAGTTCAAATTCAATGTCAGACACTAGCTGAATTAAATAACCCTGAGTAAGTCACTTAATCTGTTTGTCTCAGTTTTTTCACCTGTAAAATGGGGATAATAGTACCTACCTCTCAGAGTTGTTGTGAGGATCCAATAAGTTAATATTTATAAAAATACTTAGCACAGTGCCTAGCACATAGTAGGTCCTATATAAATGCTTGTCTCCTTCCCCTTCCTTAAATGCCTTAAATAAAATAACACCTTAAAACAAAATGATATGTGAGAGAAGGGCCTTGTTCAAATAACAATTCACTCAACTTACCCATATATACAAGAAATGTCGATAACCACATCTATCATATCACAGCAGAGTTCATATGTCTGCATATCCACTGGGGTACTATCTGTTGCAATATAAATTTTACTGACCACATCAAACAGAAAAGCCTTTTCAATTCCAGAATTCTGCAACAAAGGAAAAATGTTATCTTAAAGTGATCTTTGTTTTCAGGTAACAATACAATTATATAATTAATTACATACCTCACAAAATGTGAACATCAAGCATGAACAGACAAAAATGAAATGGGTGAAGTTGTATCTAGCTGGTTGACAGGTTACTGTACTGGTTACTGACAGTGGAAATTAAATTTCAGGCTTTTTATAAGTGAATTACATCAGAATAGATAAGTAGACACATTCCTAACAGAGTAACAAAGCTATGCAAAGATAATTTCTTGATCTTTGAAGTAGTTACATATGTAACTTATGTAGATAGGGCACTGGACCTGGAGTCAGGAAGATGAGTTCAAATATTGTCTCACACATTTACTAGCTGGGTGATACTGGACAAGTTATGTAACTTGTTTGCCTAAGTTTCATCATTTGTAAGGTGGGGACAATATTAGCACCTACTTCGCAAGGTCTTCGTGAGGATCAAATGAGATAATATTTGTAAAGTGCTTTGCAAAAAAATAAAGTGCTATCTAAATGTAGTGATGACAATGATAATGATGATAAAACTGACAATTAGCAATATTATAGGCAGCTAGGTGGTGCAACAGATAGAGCTCTGGGCTTGGAGTCAAGAAGACTTGAGTTCAAATCTGAGCCTCAGACATTTACTAGCAAATGACTGTGGGCAAGTCACTTAATCTCTGTCTTCCTCAGTTTCCTCATTATGTAAAATGGGAATGATAACAGTACCTACACCTCACAGTGTTGTTGTAAGAATCAAATGAAATAATATTTGTAAAGTGCTTAGTACAATGCCTGGCACATAGTAGGCCCTATATAAATGCTTATTCCCTTCCCCCTTTCCTAGTACAATATGGTACATGATAGATTTGATTTAGGTATAACATAAGCGCAATCCTGATTAGCATACAACCACTTTTATACTTCCTCCCCAGTTAGAAATTATCATATGCTGCCTTGTTCAGTATTGCTGACTTTTTAAAAATGTGTATTTTAAAAATCACAGGTCTCCAAGGTATTGACATGGATGTCCTGTCTACCCAACTGGCTGCTCTTTTGAAGGTAGGCAGTAGTAACTAACACTGTGGCAGTACAATGGCTTGCACATAATATATACTTAATATTTGTTAACTGATAAATGACTGATTACTACTATAACTATACTGCAATAATCAAAGTCTCAACTTTGGCCATAAAAATCTGTCCATCAAGTGATCAAAATGGGACAAAATCTAATTCATTATTCACTGAGGTCAACCTCAAAAGCCTACATGTTAATTGATCCAACCTAATACATAGGCTAATTAATTTTCCAATGAACTAACATATTTCCCAATCCCTCCATTATTGATAACTCAAAGTACAAAATCATGGAATAACTGAGAGATGCGGAAATATTTTCAGTTCACAGAGGCAGAACGTAACAGTTTAAATCTATTTTTTTCTTTAAATCTTACGAAGCAACTCTCAAACTCAGCAAATGTCTTCAGCGTATGTTTTACTTACTGAGATAAAGATGTTTAGTAAATTCTCCAGGGTTGGGAGCTGTGGAATCAGTTTCTGTACCACTTTGCTAAAAGCTTCAAATATAGAATGATCATATATGCTTGTCAGATAAAAGCTGAAAGAGGAAACAATGTTGCATCATAGCTTTCTTTTTCGCTTGTTTAAGAGGAATATGCTGCTTGTGTCATAACAAATACCCCTGATCGTTACGGGATGTGCTCCTCATGAGATGCACAATTCTTCCCCCCACCCTTCCCTACTTAAAATCAAGACACCTCCAGAAAACGCTGACTTTCATGTAAAAACCTTGACGGCTCTTTTCGTAAAATGTGTCTTAATAAAAACTAGGTGGTGTTGATGATAGATCAATGGACTTGAGAGTCAGGAAGACTCTTAAGATTCAAATTCTGCTTCAGACATTTGCTACCTGGGTGACCATAGACAAGTTACCTATAATCTCTCTCAGAATCAGTTTCCTCAGTGGCAAAACAGTGATAATAACTCAAAGGGTGGTTGTGACAATCAAATGAGATAACATCGCTTTGCGAACCTTAAAGAGCGATACAAATGCTAGAAATTATTATTAAAAGCACAAGCTCTGAGTGTTCTTACTAAGTAGTGAGGATAAAATGAGATATTTGTAAAGCTCTTAGTGCAAGAGCTTGGTACAGAATAGATGCTTAATAAATGCCTATTTATTCATTAATTAAGTGGCTATAAATGGGCACCATGAAAAATGTATTGCCACAGAGACCATCCCCGCTTTCATCCTGAAGACCTGCTCTCAGACTGGGACACCTCCATGCCAGGTCCAGCAGTAAGAATCATTATATTATGCTATACTAACCTTATTGTTACCAATTTGCCAAATAAGTGATAATGATGATGATAACGGCAATAATAATGACACTTTATATAGTACTTTCAGGTTTACACACATAGACTCATAGAGCTGGCAGGGATTTTGGAGATCATCTAGTCCAACCCCTTCATTTTACAGATGAGGAAACTGAGGCCTGGAGATGTTAAGTAACTTACCCAAGGTTTTAACTGAATGATGCCCACACATCATACTAACATTCCCTGGGGAAGCCAAATTCTTGTTACAGTTATTTCTATTTGAACTCAACTCCAATGGATATGGTTTTGTCTATTAATGTATTTATCAGGAATGGCATATTTTACCATCAATTAGCTATCAGGATTCACTGATAACATTTAATTATAAGGCATTAACTGAACATTTTTGAAAACAATCTGTTTTGCCTAGATTCCCTAATATAAAAGCACAATACCCCCTTTCAAAATCTTGTCTTAGTGCAAGAGAGCTAAGCCAGGTGGAGTGACAGTGGTTTTGAACCCCAACCTTGTTTCTTTTCTTCTTTTCAGGTTGTTCTTTCATGCTGCTTCTCTCACCTGAGGTGAATTTTCTCTAATCCAGCATCAGCAAGGTCATCATTTGCCCTCTGATGAATATCCCTTTGGGTTTCGATCTTATGGTCATCAGACAGGCCATCCACTTTATGAATAAACACTTCAAAGTTGATGTCAGGATGTACCTTGTAGGCTCGAGTTACAGTGAGGTGTAGCCTGGCTAGGGCTTCCATATAATCATCCTAGGTAAGAAAATAAAAGGAATTCCTATGAAGGTTTCAACAAGATCAAAGGATCCGAAGGGCAGCCCACATCCACAAGTTATTAAATAGTTAGAGAAATTCTGTTAAGACAGGTCACTACTGTCTTGTTTTACAACATGACTAATTTAGTAACATATGTTGCATGACTGAACATGTATAACCTATATCAAATTGCTCACTGTCTCAGGGAAGGGGGAGGTGAGAGACAGAGAGAGAAAATTTGGAACTCAAAGTTTGTTTAAAATGAATGTGAAAATAGGTTTAATATGAATGTTTATGTTGAGCCTATATCAATTTATATGCCATCTTGGGGTGGGGGTACAGAGGAGATGGCGAGAAAATTTGTAACTCAAAATCTTATGGAAGTGAATGTTGAAAACTAAAAATAAATAAATAAATTTATTTTTTAGAAAATTAATGTTGATCAGCAATGATCATCTATGAAAGACTTAGCTTTTCTCACCAATACAATCATCCAGAACAATTCCAAAAAACACATGATGGAAAATGCTATCCACATACAGAGAAAGAACTATGGAGTCTGAATGCAGATATAAGCACACTATTTTCTTTTTTTGTTTGTTTTCATGGTTTTTCCTTTTTATTCTGTTTCTTTTTTCACAACATGATTAATATCAGAGTGCTTGCTGTCTTGTGGAAGGGGGAGGGAGGAAGGGAGAAAAATTTGGAACCCAAAATCTTATAAAAAATGAAATGTTGAAACTATCTTTACATGTAATTGGAAAAGACAAAATACTATTTAAGACAAAAAATGAATGTTAACAGATAACTAACTAAGCTAAACAGTTTAGCTTCATGAAATCCATGCACTTTTCAGGTCCTATTTCACACATTCTATTAATTTTGAAAAACCAGTTCAGGATATCCTCTACCAACACAAGATATTTTCTAAAGGCCCATGGGAAAATTGGATTCACTAAGGTTCTGGTCTCAAAACATGTTTTACTCTCTAGGGCAAGAAAGCAAAAAGGAAGCAAAATGTGTATGGTTTAGACCAGTCGGACTCAAACCAAGACCACAGCAGAAGGCCTCTTTGCATAGCTGTTTGGCAATAGCCACTGGAAATTACTGTTATATGAACAGAGAGAAATACTGTCAGTATGGTTCCATGGCAAGGATATTGATATTTGTCACAGGACCTGATTTCAAATCTGGCTCTGTCACTACCTGTTTGACTTTTCTGAGTCTCAGTTTCTGCATCTGTAAATTTAAATGGCCTCTAAGGTCCCTTTAAGCTCTGGATCTATGATTCTTCCTCCTTTTCGGGGCCTTTCCCATTCATGTTTTTACTCTTAGTTTTTAATAGAATGTGAAGGGAGCTATTTAGGGTTTCAAGGGAAGATTAAAGATATAGATCACAGGGATGATCAGGGACAAGAAATGTGATGAAAACATTAAAGAACCTTTTGTCTACAGATGTTAACCTGAATTAGATATATTCCTCTTTCTCTCCCTTCCTACTGATTTAACATTTTAGAGAGAAAAACATGATATCTAAAGGAAGCAGTTAATTTTTCTAGGGGGCAGCTAGGTGGTGCAGTGGATAGAGCACTGGCCCTGGATTCAGGACAGACCTGAGTTCAAATCCGACCTCAGACCAAATACCTGACATTTACTAGCTGTGTGATCCTGGGCAAGTTACTTAACCCCAATTGCCTAAAAAATACCTTTCTAATCTTCTGATTAAATTGAGAGTGAGTAACTAGCTGGAACTATTTTATACTTAAATGGGATATGTAACTTCATCGTGGGCTCTGAAACATAAAACAATATTCATTTTTCTTTTTCAATGTATAAACATAGTCTATCTGCAATAGCCTCTTATACCAGAAGGTCGAAAAGAGATACATAAGATCTAAAAAAAAGTCTCTTCCATCAACTACTCCACTCTTGGAATAGCTTAAAAAAACAGGCACTCACTATGCTTTAGACACAACAGATTTTAGTTTTGTTGAACCAAGAGAGGAAAAGAATGTCACATATAGACTAGACTAATGATCTTTTTAATTGTCCCAGTTTATTTAAAAAAACACAATGATAGAATAAATAAATAGGGAAGAAAAAAAATTCTAGCCCCCAAACCCCAAGATCCCTTGAAAGTACAAGTGATCAAAATTCATATTCCTTTGGACAAAGCACCCACATGTAAGGTATGACTCCCCACTGGGACAGAGGGAGAACACAAGGAGGAGGAGGAGATACTAAGCAATAGTTTATGGGCCCACATATCTAGAGCTGGAAGGCACCTCTCCAGGGACTTCTAACCCTCTCATTTTACAGATGAGGAAACTGAGGTCCAGCTACAGACTAATGATTTCTAACACTGTTTCTGCAACACCTGAAGTGTCCGTAGTGCTACTATAAAATTCAAAAAAATGCCTCAAGCTAATTTTAATCCACTTTCATTTTTTTAAAGTTAAGAAGGCAGCACTGTACAGAAGGAAAAAAGCATTGGCTTTGAAATCAAAGGACCTCGTTTCAAATTCTGCCTGTGTGAGCTTGTACAATGCTGGCATCAATTTCCTCATTTGTAAAATAAAGGCATTAGATTAGATGGCCTCTAAAGTCCCTTCTAACTACAAATATATGGTCCTGTGTGAAAGATTGAGGGGAGAGAAAGAAAAAGAGAGTCACTAAACCAATCCATCAGGAGACATCATAACACAAAAATGTGTATCAGAGCTCTGAAACATACTGCCCTCTTTCATTAGATTGTAAGCTCCTCAAGGGCAGGGATTGTCTTTTGCCTTTCTTTGCATTTTCAGTGCACATAGTAGATGCTTAATAAATGTTTTGTTTTGTAAATAGACCCATCTCAAAGGATATGTTTTGTCCATTCCCTTGGAAAATCTTAAATATGCAACAGAGTCACCATCTACAAAATGGCCAAAGCCAAAAATCACATTATGGAATAAAATCAACATGTAGAATGACATCAGGAAGCCAAAAGACAGGAGGCAGCTCTAAGGAAGGACACATGCTGGGTCATTTGCCCTTCAGCTGGGTAGAAATCACTATTCATGTTGTCAAAATCATCTCTTTACAACCCCATAGAGACTACAGAGAAAACAATTCTGTGAGGATGTTTCCTCTGCAGTTTGCTTTTTTTTTTAATCTGGCAAGACTGTGATTATGAATAATTCACACACATGCAAAAAAAAACCCCCTAAGATGAATGTTTGACTGAGAAGTGGTTTAAAATAATAGATTGTTTCCCTCCTTGCCACCTTGATTCTTGTTCCAAAGCTTACTTTTTAGTAGTTATAATCACAAAGAAACCAATAATCATTTTACAGGAAATAAGCTTCATCTACTATCTACCAAGATGTGCTGGATAGGATCTCAAACAGGTGACTTTATTATTCTTTATCACTAACAAAGGGCAGATGTCAAAATGTTTTCCCTAAATTTCCAATTTTCCTTTTAAAATGTAATTTGCAAAAGGGATAGTTACTTTAGGGAACAAACTCTAACCTATATTTCATTTTTAAAAAGTCTTTAGGAGCTTTATGTTTATTCTTATCTTCAAGTAATGTGAAAACTAAACCTGATTATTTTCTGTTAAAAAAAAAAAACTATGCCCAAACCAGTTCCCCATTATTCCTCCTCCTCCTCCTCCTCCTCCTCCTCCTACTGCTATTACTAATAGCTACCATGTATATATCACTTACTAAGTGCCAGGCACTGTGCTAAAAGCCTTACAATTACTATCTCATTCGATCTTCACAATAACACTGCAAGGTAGGTGCTATTATTATCTCCATTTTACAGAAGAGGAAACTGAGGCAAGCAGATTAAGTTACTTGCCCAGGTTCACATAGCCAGAACATTTCTGAAGCTAGATTTTTTTAAACTCGGGTCTGCCTGACCCCAGGCCCAATGCTCTGTCCACTGAGACACCTTGCTACCCCAGCAAAGGCTAAACGAGCATTTGATAGACATGCTGTAATGAGACTTCTTTTGCAGCTATGAGTTGCACTGGATGACTTCTGGAGTCTCTTCTAACTCTAAAACTTGATAATTCTATTGCTTAAGGCACGAGTTGGCAAACTAGGGCCTAGAATTTGGTCTACCTCTTGCTTTTGTACAATCAGCCTGTTTTCCTATGGCCCACAAGCTAAGAATGATTTTTACATTTTTAAATACAACAAAATTTGATTTCAAGATGTAAAAACCATTCTTAGCTTGTGAACTATACAAAAACAGGCAGTGACCAGATTCAGCCCCATGGACCACAGTTTGCCACTCCCCTATTTAGGGCAATGTAAAACTGAAAAAGGTTATCACAAACATGCCCTAACAGATTGGTGGCAGAAACAGCACTTGATTTAATGTCAAAGTATCATAAATGAATATTCGAATGACCTGTAATTTCATCAGTACAGAGAATTCCCAGTGTGGAAACTCTTTCCATGGGGGTGGGGGGTGGGGGGGAGGCAGAGAAGGGAGAGAGAGAGAGAGAGAGAGAGAGAGAGAGAGAGAGAGAGAGAGAGAGAGAGAGAGAGAGGAATAACTAAATCAATCTATCAGAAGGAAAATATCTCAACATAAAAGTGTGAACCAGTGCTCTGAAAGTCTGTCTCCACTACAACCTATCTATCTATGACTTAATAAAGTATGATAGCAGAAACACAACTTGAAAGTAACTTGGTGATGCTCATTTTACAGAACAGGAGTCAGAAACCAAGGGAGGCCCCTTGTCTGGAAATGAAGAAGAGTGATTTTTTTGTGTGTTTCAGTCATTTCAGTTATGTCCGATTCTTCGTGATCCCATTTGGGGTTTTCCTGGCAAAGATACTAAAGTGGTTTGCCATTTCCTTCTCCAGCTCATTTTACAGATGAGGAACTGAAGCAAACAGGGTTAAGTGACTTGCCCAGGGTTACCGCTAGTGAGTATCTGAGACCAGATTTGAACTCATAAAGATGAGTCTTCCTGATTCCAGGCCTGGTACCCTACC